CCCCTTCCCTCCCCTTTTTCTTCTCTTTTAAAAATGAATTCCTTACTCCAAGGTAATTAAAAAGCCATGAGATGTAGAGAGTAGCTTCACTTGAAAGAAGTTTCTGCTTCATATATTGGCTAGTAAAAAATTTCTGGAGAAAAGAAGATGTTATCACAAGAAGGTGCCCCACAGACCTCCAACTACAGGAAGTTTAACTAACCAAGGGCCCCGGCTGCTGCATTCTGAAATCCATCATCACGTGCGCGCAGGGGCCCTGCCCCCAGACAATGACCAGTGTGCGGGGATCCTGAGGAAGCCCATTCCTAGGAGACACAGGGATCCTCTGACAGATGACTCTGGCTTCAGAACTCCCTGACGGCCCTGCCAAACCTTCCTCAGACCGTGCTGTGCTCTCAGAGACCTTCACCCAACCTACCTGCTTCCTTCCTTCCTCTCTCCTTCACTTGGAGTCAGACCCACACCGAAATCTGACAGCTATCCCCGCCTTGCCTCCCCACCTCCTCCCACAGGCATTTAATCCTGTCTTGGCATTTACTTGCTGGAGGACCTAGAATAACACAGAAAGTGAGAAAGTTAAAAAAAAAAAAAAAAAAAAAAAAAAAAGGAAAGATACAGGAAAGTCATATTTAGCTGCTTCACTTTTTGTTCTCACAGGAAATTTCCCAGTTGATAGGGGGAAAAAAAGTCCTTTCTTCCATTTAAGAACTTTATATATTGCTTCCTTGACACTATCAAAATTGGTCTCAACCTTACAGACAAACAATGAGGCTCCGGAAGTTAACTTACTCCCCTGCAAGGCCATCTAGTCCAGGGGTAATTAAAGTCCAACCTGTCTACCTCTAGACCCCATGTTGTCTTTGCTACTCTAAGCGACGCAGCCAAAGGTTTTCACTCTCCACTGCCAGCAAGCTTTTCACTTAGGGTAACAGGCTGTCGGTGTATGCTTTTATAAGACCGCCGAATGAGGTAAGCACATCCTTGAGTTTAGATTCTTCTCTTTTCTTTATCTAATGAGTGCAAATATCCAGTCCCCCATGGAAAATTACAGCCATTTGGTTATTCCAAAATCTCCTGCCAGGGAATATTATATGGGAACTGGTTCAGAGGTAGGTCTGCCTGGAACGGGGCCAAGAACAGAAAACAGAGTCAGGGATAATTATCACAGAGCTCCTTCCTCCTTTTGGAACCCAGAAATGGATATGGCACTTTTGAAGGCCTTCCCTAGGAACCCAAAAGTAGAGGAAGAATTTGTATTTCCATTTATTTCCTATCCCTATTGGAAACTATCAGTAGGCACATCACAAAGTCTGTCCACTTTATCATTATTTATGCTCCTGAAAGCAATGGTGACTTCTCAAAAAATAAGAAGAAAAAGAAATTTTTTATATCACCTTGCAAAGGCCACATTAACTCAGCTTGGCAAGTTCTCTATGCCTCCAGACAGAATAGGATTAGCCTGAAAACACAGCTACAACCCATCTTAAGGTATAACCTATATAGATATAGAAAACACATTTCAAAACTGTAGCACTTAGTAAGTTCTCACACAATGCACAAAATTCCTAATATGCCGGCTTTAAAACTAGCAGAAAACATGGTAGAAAGAAGACTGGACTCAGTTTAGTCCTGGCTCCATAACTAGCTGGGTGACCTCAGGACCGTTACTGGGCCTCTCTTGTCCTCTGTTACCACATCTAATCAATTAGGGGATCAGACTACAGCATTTCTAAAGCTCTTTCTCCCAAATTCTGGTTCTATAATTCTAAGTGCCTCCTTTTCTTACCCAAATAGATCTAAGTTGTGTGTTTCTATAGGAACTAACAGTACTCTTTGAGCAGGAAACTAGTTTCCTTGTGATGTGATATCCCAGTGACAGGATAAAGGCTAGAAGTTAAAGACACTGGATTAATTAATTAGGCATTTCCTATAGAGCAGTTTTTCTCTAAAGGATTCTGAAGAGATTAGTACACACACAGCAACATGGTAGTAGGAAGAACCCACTTGGGATCTGAACAAGACAGACCTGGTTCAAACCTCAACTTCACCACTGATGGGACTTGAGGTCTTGGGCAAGTTGCTTAATCTTCTTCTGCAAACCAAGCCTTAAAATGGTACCTACCTCACAGGATGGTTGTGTGGATCTAATAAGTATACACTGCATCAAACAAGGCCTGGTAAATGGCAGGGGCTCAATATCAGTGTTAGCTATTATTGTTAGCTGTTCTCATTATCATCTTAGTGTGTACTTACGTTCATCAGCTTTTGCCCCCCACTGGTCTTCTACCCTCTCAAACAGATGAAATAGAATTGGAAAGAAGACATGGTCCCTGGCCCTAAAGGTTCGCAGCCTACGGGGTAAAGAGACAAGTAACTATAATGCAATGCTATAGGAGCTATGATAGACCTATGTATGCATATAGTGTCATTCAAAATAGCTAACTTTGCTGGAAAGGGTCCATATCTAATACCCCTATGTATCCTACCCAGTTCCTTGAACATGGCTGACACAGTAAATATTTCTTAATGAGAACAGCAGAGCCTTTCTAGAACAATGCTTTAGGCTATCCCAACAAAGTTACTGGTGTATATGAGAAACCACAAGAAACAGAGGCCCTTTAGGGTCCTTTTGTAGAAAACTCCTTTGGATGAAATTCAAGACTAATCCTCCTTATTCAGAAGCCCCTCCCTAGCAAATGGTGCAAAAGTATGTTTCCAATACTATAATAAATAATCATTATCATATACACAGGAAAGATCATTACTTGGGCCTAGCTGGGAGCTGAAGAAAATATACTGATTGAGAAACAACAAAGCAAAGCCAATTGTCTTAGTAGCTGGGTTCACACCACAAATACAACCTAAGATTCATATGGGAATTTGAGATTCATTATCTGTTAGCATCAGTTCAAGATAACAGCATTTTAGGGCTTCCCTGGTGGCGCAGTGGTTGAGAGTCCGCCTGCCGATGCAGGGGACACGGGTTCGTGCCCCGGTCCGGGAAGATCCCACATGCCGCGGAGCGG